ATAAATAATATAGCTGATTGTACAGCCAATACATTTTTATTTCATACATCACCCTCTTAAATAAAATCAATTGTCTGAAGATTAGTCACCCTTTCAGTTATACCAGGAATTATTCAATAGATACATCTTAATTAGGGCCGGAGAGATTTTAAAAAATGAAGACAGGTGATTATTTTCAAAGACGCCATATATTGTACTTATGATCACAGTGTGGGGGTATTTCTAGGGGAGGCACTAGCTGTGATCACTGAAGTGTTAAAATCTGAAGAAGACTTAGAGGACTCTTGAGAAAAAAAGTGCAGTGAGTAGGGTTTGTGTACCAGTAGAAGTGTATACTTTTTACAATGCCCATAATGAGTGTAAGTCCCAAGAATTTTCCACAGTTGGTAACATTTGTTGGTGTGCACATAACATAACATAGGCCAATTGAAGCAAGGGGAAGGGTTTTTGCAATAAATTGTGAATCATACACATTCATTTGTCAATTTCATCCAAAAAGTGGTCAGTGATGAAATGATTGAAAACTAGCAGGGACTAAAACCTGGAACATCAACATTTGCTGCAGTTAAATTCAGGAACAAATGGGGTTTAGGGAATTAAAGGTTTTCTTTTTTGAAACTGCCATTTCTGGAAAATGAACATCATGTACTTGTATCTGCGTTTCACCATGTGCCTTTTTTCTAGTATTGAAAAAGTAATTCTATTTATATTTGAAATTCATGCAAACAACCTAAACTTCCTAAAATTATAAATCAACAAAAAAATAAATTGTATTTAACCTAAGAAATCGAACCAATCAAATAACTATTTATATATACTTAATTAGCAATGCAAAAAAAAACAAACAAACTTATCCAATAACAAAAAAAAATCTAATTAGATTAATTATATAACGAACGTATAACGAATTAAGCAATATAAGTATACCTGAAGCTCATGTCTCATGTTGCTTGTCTGAGACCTGCATCAGTGCGGTCACAGAATTAGCAGACTTTTTAATTTTATTGCAATTCTTCCTTCAATTGCAAGCTACAATACATTAGTATAGGCAAAAAGAGAGCAACAAGTTGCCTACCTGTTGGAAGTACTTCAAATTCCCATTATTTTTATAAATGAAATACAGTGACCTGCAGATGGCACTGTTGCTTAGGTGGTTGTCTATTAAAACCAAATACAAAGCACATTTATTATTTTACACTCAGAAGGGCTGGCAATGTCTCTTAGGATGAAGAAAAAAAAATCTTGGAGACTACATATCAATTAATAATTATTTATCATGACGCAGAATTGATTTTAGCAAGCAAGTAGAAAGTCACACTTAAAGGCCACTTTAACAAGGATTTTCATGCTCTAAAAATAGATTACAGACTACATGGCATTATGGAAGACTGGATTGCAAGATAAATACCTCTCCCTTTAACTTGTTTATTGCAACTAAGTAGCAGATGAGAAAGGAACTGAAGGACAGTTATTGTGCTGCCAGAAATACCATAGGGATGCCTTGGGATGCTTTTTTGGTTCAGGAACAAACTGTTCTGGTCTGGAAATGGTCCGGACATGGTGTGAACAAGCCCTAAAGGAGTATGTTATTTTTTCATTTTTCTCAGTATTATTAAGTATTATTATTAAGTTGTATTTTGGTTTTTAACCACTTCAGCTCTTGTACCTGTACCCCAAATGGACCAAAGCGATTTTTCCATTTCTACTATGGGCCTGTTTATTTGTTGATAACTTTGTCATTGCTTAAGTAAATACAATGACAAAACGAGGCTCTCTTTTGCAATATTTTTTGCAAATGTTATTTTATTTCCTATGGAATCTATAAACAAAAATATGTAAAGAGTTTTTAAAAATGTGTATTTTTATTTCTGTTTGAAAACGAATTTACTGTAAATAAAAAAATGCATTTTATTCTACAATTTGTCACATTTGAAATAGCACTAAAATTATGTTTTAGCTATAAAGTAAGTTATTTTCAAATTTAAAAAAAAATACTTTAAAAAAAAAAATGAATTTTGTGCATTTTCTTGTTACATGAAACTGAAAAAAGCAACAAACAAAGAAAGATAAATGATAAAAAAAAATCAGCAGAAAAATAATAGCTAAGGAAAGAAATGATTAATTAGGGTTGATTCGGGTTAACTAAAGTTTAATAAGGGCTTAAATAGGATTGCTTTGTACTTAAAAAAATGTTTGATTTCTTTAAGTGATGTAATTTGCAGATCAAAGATCACATCTTTGATCTACATATTTTATTTATTACAGACATTTATATAGTGCCAACAATTATGCAGTGCTTTACATAGTTGCACATTCACATCAGTCTAAGGGCCCTATCTCACATGCATACACACAGGGCCAATGTATCTGTCTTTGGAGTGTGGAGGGAAACCGTAGTACCTGGAGGAAACCCATATAAGCATAAGAAACTCCTTGCACATAGTGTCCTGAGGGGGATTTGAACTGGGAACCCCTAGTGTGGCAAGGCAGACGTGCTAATCACTATGCCACTGTGCCACCCGGTGAATGAAACAGTTAATACTAATGAAACAATACATTGATTCATTGGGGGAATTAATCAAAAACTGGAGAATACAGAATCTGGAGCAGTTGCTCATAGAAATCAATCAGCTTCTCTTTTCAGTTTGTTAAAGGAGAACTATGGGGTCAGTGTTTTTCCCCATAGTTCTCCTTGGGGTAACGGGAGGACACAAACTAGCGTCCTCCCGTTACCCTAAGCTCAGTATACCGCGAGCTACAGCTCGCGGTATACTGAGACGCCGCACCTGGAGCGGATCCCGACTTAGATGACGGGATCCGCCCAGCTGCGTGAGTGACAGCTGGCTCTGCCTATCTAGAGGCAGAGCCAGCTGTACCCGCCCCCTCCCCCGTCCGTTCCGCCAGTCAGCGCTGGCAGATCGGAGCGGGGAGAGGGGAATCCAGCCCCTCCCCCTGTCACGGCAGAGAGCCGTGACAGGATCGAGAGGTGAGGGAACCCGGTATGTGTTCCTCACCTCCCGATCTACTGAGCCGACCTGTGACAGTCTCATTGTCACAGGTCGGCTTAGAACTATGAGATGAGTGGAAATCACTCATCTCATAGTTCTCCTTTAAGTTAAGCTTTGAAAATTACAGATAGAAGCTGACTGGTTGCCATGGGCAACTGCTCCAGATTCAGTCTGCTCCAGTTGTGATAAATTTCTCCCATTGTATTTACTGACTGACACTTGCAGACTATTTCCGTTTACCGGATCATTGAAGCGATCTGGCAGCAGCTGAGCCCCCAGAATCGTTTTTACTGTGAAGCCGGCCGCCAGCTCTACAATTATGAACAGAGTCCCTGCGACTTTCTGTATAACCCTTTCAGACTTCATGACGGGAAGCCCTTTACAGACCCGTCATGGGTCGTGAAGGTTAAACAGAAATGCAGAATGGTAACAGCTATAGAGGACTACAACTCCCAGCAATACTTTATATGGCAATGCAGAATGGTAACAGCTATAGAGGACTACAACTCCCAGCAATACTCTATATGGCAATGCAGAATGGAAAAGGCTATAGATGGGATTCTGCATTGCTGTATTAAATATTGCTGGTAGTTGTAATCCTCTATAGGCATCACCATTCTGCATTTCTGCATAAAGTATTGCTGGCAGTTGTAGTCCTCTATAGCTAATGCCATTCTGCATTTCTGTATATAATATTGCTGGGAGTTGTAATCCTCTGTATATCCGTTACCATTCTGTATTTCTGTATAATGTATTGTTGGGAGTTGTAGTCCTCTAAAGCCGAAGCCATTCTGCATTGCCATATAAAGTTTTGCTGGGAGTTGTAGTCTTCTAAAGCCAAAGCCTTTCTGCTTTGCTGTATAAAGTATTGCTTGGGCAGTGCTGGCTCTCAGATGGTCAGTGGGGGCTCTCAGGTGGCCAGTGTGGGCTCTCAAGTGGTCAGTGCCGGCTCTTAGGTGGCCAGTGTGGGCTCTTAGGTGGCCAGTGTGGGCTCTTAGGTGGCCAGGGCGGCCTCTTAGGTGGCCGGGATGGGCTCTTAGGTGGCCAGTGTGGGCTCTTAGGTGGCCAGTGTGGGCTCTCAGGTGGCCAGTGGGGCTTTCAGGTGGCCTGTGCGGGCTTTCAGGTTATCAGTGTGGTTCCCAGGTGGCCAGTGGGGCTCTCAGGTGGCTAGTGCAGGCTCTCAGGTGGCCAGTGTGGGCTTTTAGGCTGGGAGAAGGATATGCACACAGGCCTGTGGAAGTGATCAGGCGGCTTTACAGTATTACTTATTAATATTCTGAGTAAAATTCTGAAAGGGGGAGTATTTGCAATTAGACACAAGACAGCAATTATTGAATGTGATTAAAAAAATAAAAAATATTCTAGTGCTAACACAAAAGTATTTTAAAATGTGCTAGACTTAATTCCAAAAAGCATAAGTCATGTAGTATTTGTATTACTGTGTACTACTTTGTTTATGGTCAAAAATAAATGTTTCACTTCATTAAACCAAACGGATTAGATGAATTTACTTAACTCTTGTATTCAATGCACAGGTTGTTTGATACTGATTTTTAATGCATTGAAATTCAGGTCCACTATTTTGGAAGCACAGCACTTGGAGAGATGGGTAGGCTAGGTGATCCCCAAAGTAATTTTTGTGTTATTACAGAGTGGAGTGGAGTTGGTGATCTGGGCCCTTTTTGACACTGGGCTGGCAGCCCTTTTGTAGAGCTTTTTAGACTTCTTTGAATTGAAACTTAAGAAGGAGAAAACACTTGATGGTCACCCCAAAGTTTTGAGCCCAATAGTATTTATTTTCTTAAAAGATTCAAGCAATTCTCCACTCTACCTTTGTTACCCATTCACTGTTTGTTGGATCTTCCATACTTTCACCTACGTAAACATTGTCGGAAGCTAGTGAGTCATATTTTGACGGCTTCCCGTTGTCTTATAGCTTTTCAATGGAAACGTACGCTTCCACCGTCTAAATTTGAATTGATCTCTCGCATTAACGATGTACAGAGTATGGAGTACCTAACAGCTAGATTGAATAATACTGTTGCTCTTTACGACAAAGTGTGGGAAGCTTGGCTGTCTTTTAGCTCTGATTCGGAACTGATTGTGGGAACTGTCCTGTTATCATGTTTTACTATTTTGTTTGAATCTAAACCCAAGCTGGACCCGGGGGAACTGGACCTCCCTTTCTTTTTGCTCTCCTTTCCTCTATTTCTCACCTTTTCTCTCTTTCTTTGCTTATTATCTACTTACTTAGATACCATTTTTGCAATGAATCTCATAACTAACTGATGTTATTAATTGTGCCCTTATGGTAATATCACACTATTATTTGCTTATCAGGTTTATATTATACGGAGATGTTTGAAATGATTGGTGCATCGTATTCTTTGTTTTCATTGCTCATTTACCTTTTTTGTATTGAAAAATTTTTCAAATAAATAATGTATTCGATGAAAAAAGATTCAAGCAAAATCTACATGTGTATCTAACACTTTTTCATGGCTTAAGAGTGTCTCCTTCATCAGGGCTTGATATATAAATAGAATAAAAGGTGTTGCAGTTTAAACACATTGAGCAGCCCTACTCTCTTGTCTCCAGTCGCGCTGCTTAAACCTCGGTGCCTGGGAAAGCTTCCGCCAGAGCCTTCACTGAGCAATAGTTAAAAATCGGCACTCGCAAGGGGATCCTTCCATCTAGTACTTTATTTGTTAAAAGGCATAACAGCAGCAAACAAACACATGCTAAATTGATAAAAGGTGGTGTACTCAAACTTTTAACGTTTTACTAAAGGCAAACAGGCTCTTCACTTGGGAATTCTCCCTTAGCTTCGTAGATGAGATGAAGCATTTATGACTTCCATCATACAATCATGTACAAGCAAAAATCCTGTTTTTTTAAAAATTGCTCTTGCATGTGATTAGGTATTCTTTGCAAAGTTAATTTCTACCATATTCACTAAGCTAAGATAACATTCCCTTGCAAAGTTAAAATGCCCTTGTACATTAAACAGCCTATTTGCCTTTACTGAATCAACCCCAAAGTGTTTGTGGAATTTCAGAATTGATGTAGGCACTTAACAGGCACAATCATCAGCAGCTGGTTGTTGCAGACTTTTTAATGTTGTGAAACTCCAGACCACTGGCTTTCCACGAAAGCAAGAGTGGTCCTGTCAAGGTAATATTACCAAGGGCCTATGAAATTACCTGTCAAGGGGATGCCCAAGAGATCTAGTACTGGCTTAATGCTGTGTGCACTGAGGGGTTGACATCAACAGTACCCTTTCAAAGTGGACTTACAGTGTCTACATTGCAAAGCAGCTGTAGAGCACTTGAGCTAATTCTGGTTAGGTTTATATAACCAGAAAATTGATTATCGCAGGATCTCCCTGTTAGAGAGCGCATTTTGTGTTGATTCTAATGTTGCTTTCAACCCTTCTAATGCCTCCCTTATCATAAAGCTTACATAAACTTTGATTTTAGGTAAGTTTTAAGACTTTATTCCTTGAGGCTATGTTCACACCATGCCTGGAGCAGATCTGCAAACGCAGTGCATTTTTGCCACGTTCCAGTGTGGTTTTTTTTAGCTTAAAATGGGCTTTCAGGTGCGGTCCAGTGCGTTTGCATGTGTTTGTATGCATTTTTCATGCATTTCCATGCGTTCCAGTGCAATCCAGACCAGGGGAAATGAGACAAGCAGAATTTTTTTTGTCTGGTCTGGAACTGACTGCGCTGGTGTAAACAGAGCCCAGAAATAACATAGGGATACATTGGGATGCTTTTTTGGTCCGGGAACAAACTGTTCTGGTCTGGAAATGATCCGGACATGGTGGGAACAAGCCCTAATAGTTACATATTTCTTGCTGCTCTTGTACCTGCCCTCTGCTGATGGACCTGATGGAGAACTGCAGCAGAGGGTGGGTACAATGCTAGTTTACTATTGGCTATTGCAAATTGAAATAGCCAATAGGAATCTAGCAATGCATTCCAATGGGCAAAACATTTTTTTTTCTATTCTGACACGGCTCCGTATTAGTGTATGTGTACACTGAGTGGCCAGATTATTATGACCACCCCATCAGTACTTCATTGGGCCACGAGATGACTCCACGAGATGTTGAAAGGTGATGCGAGGAATCTGACACTGCACTGTTGCCCTTCTGTTGTCTTGTACCAGTCTTGCCACTCTCCGTTCTGCGCTAACATTGACTAGTCGGTGACGGCCACAATTCGCACGTTCAGACCCAGATTTTCGGCTGACAGTCCAGTCTTTAAACACTTTAACAACAGCTGCTCTTGAACATTTAACGAATTCTGCTGTTTTGCTGATACTCGCTCCATGGCTCCGAGCGCCAACAATCATCCCACGTTCAAAGGCTATTAAATTGCGTTGTTTATCCATATCTTCAGAAACAAATCACTTCTTCTGTCGTGGTAAACAACCTGCTTCCCTATTTATAATGGTCTGGCCCTCTAGCAACTTCAGCGCGAAATTATAGCTAATTATAGCTAATTTGCCTACAAACGTCAGGTGGTCATAATAATCTGGCCACTCAGTGTATATTAGGCCCCATTCACCCCTATATTTCAGGTGTGATTAGTGATTCCTGCGTCAGGTACTTTGGTTTTCTGCAGCAGGAATCCCTAATCTGCGGTTTCAAGCGGCAACTATCATAAGATAAGAATTATCTATCTATCTATCTATCTATCTATCTATATATATATATATAATAAAAAGCTTTGCCTGTTGTTGACAGGGAGAAGGAAAACACCTGCTTTTGATCACTTAAAACAAGTTCTTGCACCCCGACAAGTGGAAGCTACTTTGAATGGCCATTACATTTGTACAGGTCTGCACCTTAAGTACTCTTAATAATAGTTTCCTAAAGGCGTACACTGATTGTACTAACTGTTATTGTAAAGGCATACATTCTTGCAGTAGAAGATAATTTTATGAGTAGTTGAACTTTGATAATGACAATAAGGTAATATTTAAAAAAAATAGTAAATCCCTGGATTATAAGTAGTTTTATTTTCCAAAAAGGAAAATCCTTGGAAGAGTTGTATACTTTCTTGAGTGTCCCCATATCGGGGTCATGTTTGCACAATCACTATTATTGCCATTGCAGAAATGTACCAGATGTCTGGAAGTGGACCAGTGGAGAATTCCAGGAATATCTCAGCTGAGGTGTATTTAAGAAAACAAACTTTACTTGGAGAAAGTTTAATATCATCACACAGTACAAGCATTTTCAAAAAGGCAGTGCAAAGAGAAATGGTTTTATGTAAAATATAGTAGTACCCTATAAATTCTTTTATCTCCTATCCCAACCTCATTAATGTCAGCAGCATCAGGACACTGAGGTATACAAAAACCTCTAAAGCTGTTATGTTGTCACAACAGAGGTCCTTTGGAAATCTCAACATAGAGATTCTTTTCCATGCTACCACTTCAGGTTATGGGAATCTCTAACTTGTAGAAATGTAATAAAACAACCTATAGACTTACAATGGCAGTTATTCATGCATGTATAATACAACCACAACATTACGACCTTCAGGGCATATTGAGAGCATAGAGAGTTCCAATAATGGGCAATGCTGGCTTCCCTGACTTTACAGTGTAATGTAAATAGGGAAAAAAATAAAAGCATAGAGTATGGGGATGGTGCAAATTTATCAAAGTGATTGGAACAGATTTTCTATCCTATGTATTGGCTTGTTTACCCCAACTGTGGCATCAACAAGGTTCCACAGATGTAAGACGTGTACTCCACGCTAGCCAAAAATAATTGTCATATCTTGTCATTAGGTACCTTTAGCCATGGCTTATCAGGTTGTTGTTTCACGTGACTCAAAGGTTATAATCCAGTAGTCCTTTGCTATTTCTAATTGCACTATTTGTAATTTTCAAAAAGACCGTGCACTGAATTAAAGAGACAAGATTTGATTTGATTTTACATAAATTGCTGAAAGCTGACTGATTTCTATGGATTACTGCATTTTGGTTATCATCACTGATTGCTGTGCTGACATATAAAAAAAAAGTTCAGTTGTGTGTACAAGTTATCCTGTCCTAGATTTGTTTTTAACACTTATCCTGATAAAGTTAAAGCTTTCTTTTTGTATATCTTCTCCAGAATAGCACATCATGTATAGTTTTATCAGTTTTTTCACGTTCTGCTCATGTTTACAGTGCTGCATCATTAATCATTTTACTGTCTGCAAGAATAGAACGTTTCTGATAGTCTTCCGAACAACTGGGTCATAGGTCCTTACCATCTTGTCTTGAATTGTCTTGTGATTGTAATGTCTGCCCTATATTGTAAAGCGCTGCGCAAACTGTTGACGCTATATAAATCCTGTATAATAATAATAATAGGTTTTGCAATGTGCAGGTGCTTACTTAAAAAATTAACGCTTCCCTTGCTAAAACCATAGATAAATCCATAGAGAAAAGCCAAGCATTCTTAGCTTTCCAAAACACATACACAAAAACACTGAATGGCCTTTAATTATCAGAAGAAGCCCAGACAGTATTTTATCCACAAACCACATGAATGATAGGGATTAATCTTACAAGTGCATGTTTCTCCCTCTAGTGGATAATGTGGACAAATACCGGTCTGACTTGTATCGAAATTTTGCATTTTTTTGTTCTCTTGTTATTGAAAGTAGTGCGGACATAGCATTGTAATTCAGACAGACAGATTGCAGATGTCAGTTTTTTGTTTGTTTCTACTTGGGACACAGTTTGAAGTCTTATGCTCACTTATGAAATATGTTGGAACATGCAAGATGACCTTGTTTACCTTTCTTGGGAACTTAAAGTGACACTAAACTCAGGAGTTAAATCTTAATGATGCATTCAAGTACCTTAACTATTAACAAAAATGTACCTTATTTATGTATCATTTGGCTGTAGATCCTCAGATCGGAATTGAATTGGTGCTGACACTGTCCTTCTTTCTGGAGGGTGACTACTTTTGTTCCCCCTGTGTATGTTGTAAAGTAGCCACTGCCCCAAGCTCACTCATGTGATGGATTAAAAATTCAATACAAATTTGTAAAATAATTAGGAGTTTGTAGTCCATCACAGAAGTTTGCTTGGAGCGGTGGCTAATTTACAACACACAGAGGGACCATGGGAAAAAAAATAGCCACCCTCCAGAAAGATGGACAGTGTCAACATGAATTCAGAGATGATTTAAGGACCTACAGCCAAGTGATACACAAATAAAGTATATTTTTTGGAGGGCAGCATGCTGAAACTTCCCTCTATTGCAGAGCTCCATGTTCCACTACTAAGCAACAATTGAAACTACTTTAGTCTGAGAGCAATCCTTGCTCCCCATTACTGTTATATCTCCTTGTTACTTCACTACTTCAGTTTAGCAAGTGACCCAGCACAGGAGCTGCAGTCTATGCTAGGGGGCTCTTGTCCTCATAAAAACAGTGTGCCCATGTGGAACTGCCCATGTGTGGCTTTTCTCCATAGGCCTTATAGGAAATGCTGCTCATGCACAGTGATGTAAGGCACTGTCTTCTCAGAAGAGGACAAGATTGCTAAATGGGATTGGAGTCTTTAGCTACTGCACTGAGGTATGAACAAAAGAGTAAAAAAGGTAAACAGAGAGAAGGGAGAATGTATTACAGTAGAACTGAAGCAAAAACATATTTTTCTTTAGTTTTGGATAGAGTAAGGGAGGGTTACAACCCCTATCAACGTTTTTTGCCATCTGTGGACCATTGGGGATATTTGCCTTTACGTCTTGTCCAATAGCCACAACAGGAAGTAAGAGTAAATCCCTCCAAAGTGAGGGAAATCCCTGGTGGTCAGCAAGGTCACCAGAATTAGTGCCTCCAATGGAAGATTTTAGTGATAATGGTCACCAAGACCCTAACGGGCACACAGACAGCAATGAAAACATGACAGGTGTTCCAACCATTTCCCACTCTATCCAAAACTAAGAAAAAAACAACCTAAACTTTACAGTTACGTAGTAAGAAGAAAAGTTATACTTTAAATAAAGTTACAGAACATAGATAATGGATATCTATGGATATTGACATATAAATGTGTAAGTAAGAGGTTCAGCTTAGCTGCCTATGCCCTTATCATGTAGGACAGATCTGTTTCACCTTACTCATTAAAGCTGGTCAATGCCGCAACAACATTTGGCGAACACTTGGCAAATCATTCGGCATGCCATGATACATTATGGAGCTTACTGATGTACTTCTGTTAATCTAGACCTTGTACAACACAACTATTTGGTTGCTTGCTCAGGTCACTAGCTACAGCTAAGGTATTTAGTAAACCCTGTGTTGCTTCTCTGGGACACAGTAACAGAGGTTCATTACTGTAAATCATATAACATTTGTTACGTACATACGTTGTTTGCAGAGAACCTGATTAAGTACATTAATTAACAGCATCTCATCTCACCAGGCTCAGCTAAATTGGAATTGTGACCCCAATTCTTAGGAAAACTGCTAAGTAGAAGGTCGAAGCCTCACAATGTTTATATTTCTCAGTGATTATGATTTTCGCCTTGGGATTTAGGATACAGCCAAGGCACAGCAAGTTTGAATTCCACATTACATTTTAGCTAGACTTTTACTTAGCAGTTTGCCAGAATGATGCATTTGTATATATTAGACACTCAAATCTTTCAAGGCACTCGTATACATGCTGGAATCTATTCAAATGGAAACTTTCTTTAGTGATATGTTGCATTTTAAATATATGTCAAAGGTTTACGATTTCTGTATAGTATTCAAGCCAGATTGTCAGCTAGATAAAAAGTTGAAATGCATATACTGTTTACTGCTTTATGTGCCAAGGCCTTGTAATGTTATTTAGCTACTAATCGACATAATCCATTATAATCGATTATTGAAAAAGTTGTCAACTTTTTCAATCATCGATTAATCGGCTTCTGATTGGTTGGCCCTGTTTACGGCTCCACACACGCTGCACGCCTCTCCTCCCCCCCACCTCACGTTCGCCGCTGCCAGACCCGCCTGTATCCACGCTCCACACGCCGCATCTCCTCCCCGCCTCACGTTCACCGACCGCCCACATCCACGATCGGCACAGGGACGTGGGGAGAAGTAGTAAGGAGGAGCAGGTGTGGGGGGATGACAGCCGCCGATAGACAGGTAAGCCTGCACTTTCCCACACATGGTGCTCTATAATGTATTGCTGGGATTTGTATTCCTCTAATGTTGCAATGCTGAATACCACTAGCTATAGAAGACTACAAAACCCAGCAATAGTACATTATACAGCGCAATGCAGAATACCACCAGCTATAATGTACTATTGCTGGGATTTGTTGTATGCCTCTATAGCTGGTGGTATTCTGCATTGTGCTGTATAATGTATTGCTGGGTTTTGTAGTCCTCTATAGCCGGTGCCATTCTGCATTCATTGCTGTATAATTTTTTCTTTTTTACTTTCACCGCTCCAAGCTTGCTCCTGTCATGGACTACACTCTCAATACAAACTAGTAGTCCATCACTGGAGCCATTTTTTAAAATGTATTTTATTTTTTATCCGATTAACCGATTAATCGAACGTAATTATCGGCTAACTAATCAATTTTGAAAATAATCGTTAGCTGCAGCTCTACTTTTGTGATTGGCACATCTCCGCTACCCAGCAAAGCTAGGCAGACCATTCTTGGATCATCTCCCTGCTCATTTTGAGTCTTGCTTGGATAATTTTATCACTTCATAAAAATCCTCTTTCTCACCTAGGGGGTTAAGGGATACTGTTAATTAATGCTGTAAGTGTGAGATCGCTTGAAAGGGTTGAGAGAGCAAAGTAAGAGAAGGAGAAGAGTGATAGAAGGGAATATGAGGTACAGAGAAGGATAAGGAGAAGGTGTTGTGACCACTCTAAGTGGTTAGTCACACAGTGCGTTCATTTCATTCAGGGTTCATGTAACATTCTCTATAAGATGCCACAGCTCCCAGACTTTGTTATATTTACCTATTAATTGATGGAAGTGGGCTATAAGATATTCCATTGACTGAACATCACAGTTCCTTGTGTGTAGTTCCACGAGGGTTGGGGTGATTGGGGGTTATCTCACTGCCATGAGTATGTGTGTTGATAATTTTTTGGTTGATTTAGGAAAGTCTTTTGGTGGTAGACCCAGAAGGTAGGTTTTAGGGGAGAAAGGCATCCAAGTGTTAAACACACCGAGGGGAATTAATCAAAACTGGAGCAGATAGAATCTGGAGCAGTTACCAATGGCAATCAATCAGCTTCTCTCCTCAGTTTGTTCAGTTAAGATTTGAAAATTAAAGATAGAAACTGATTGGTTGCCATGCACAGCTGCTCGAGATTTTCTCTGCTCCAGTTTTGATAAATTCCCCTCAACATGATTCAAGGAAGTATGGTAATTTTTTTTTATCACAAATATATTGCTGTAAATATATTTTAGCTCTCATACATGGGGTCTTGTGCTAGAACTGACATGCAGTGCTAGAAGCTGTATGTTTTATAATGGAACACTTAGGGCTGGTACAGGCGCAGGACTGCAGGTGCTTTTTTTTAGATGTGCCATTTCACAACCAGGTTTTTGATGTGTAATCACTGTAAAGCTTATTCATTCTTATGGTGGCGGTGACGCCTGTATACTTTAGAACTTACAAATTGCTATGAATGCATCAAAACGTTTAGCCTTCCATTAGGGTGCATTCACTGCATGTTAAATATTGAAATGCATGAATAAAAATAGTGAAATCCATTG